TTTCCAGAATCAATAATAACAAGATGAAAGGAGCCCAGATTGCAAGCAATTGGGCTGCAAGTTTGAAAATGACTTGCTAAACTATTGCAGACTTGCCAAGCATTGCAAGTCTCCAGATCAATGTGCTTTGTAAAAGTGCTGTACACTTGCAGAGCTCTTGCTAAGAACTGCAGGATTCTTGCTGTAGACTTGCCAAGCAAATTTGCTACAAATTCTAAAAGTGTCAACTAGAATTTGTGCTGCACGTTTTCTGCAAGTCTACAACTTGCCAGGAATGTGTGCAGCAAGTTAACAAGAATTACAATGTAACCCTGCCACAAGTTTGTGGCAAGTTATCCTTGCTAACGGGGAAGTTCTCTGTAACACATGCAGAGGTGTGTTAAGCCGCCCACACACCTTACAATTTATCTGCAGATTTTCTATGGTCAGATGGAAAAGGTGCAACAGATTCCTCCATCTACACTTAACTGTGTGGATGAAGTAATCTGCACCTAGGCCAATCTGTTGCACTTTTTCCATCTGACCACAGAAAATCTGCAGATAAATTGTAAGGTGTGTGGGCAGCTTTACACTTAACAAAACTAAAATGTGGTTAATGGGATGATATGAAAATTACAATGAGTATCTTTTAAAAGATCTCATGCCCTATATCATTACTTATTTCTCCACCTGCTTCAAATCTATGTGATCTGCAGTTGACTGTGAAGGTACACACTGGCCCTATTTTATTAAAGCAGTAGAGCATGTTCGCTTTCAAAGTGAGTTTTCTTTTTGCAAGAATATTTCCACTTAACCTAGTGAATTGTTGAAAATGGAAAGAATACCCAATCATATTCAAGGAAAAAGTAAAAAACAGGATTTTTGCGTGCACACGATTGGCTGATTGAAGGCAGCACCACTTCACTGAAAATTCACATAGCACAGTGCTTGACAAATAGGTGAATATAATGAGGCTTTTTTATCTCAGCAAGTACTTGTGGTTAAAGTTAAACGGTCTCAAAACTGAACATTTCATACTGGTCATATGAGGAAAAATGAATAAGTAAATGTTACTTTCAGTAAAAACACCACATCAAGATGATCAGTTGATCAAGTGTTATAGGCAGCAAAAGACTACCCCTTCCTGACTCCCCAAATTACTTATAGCTGTTTAAAGCAAATCTTCTGATTTTGCATAGGGACAATATGGGGTTAAGGTCCAGGATTGCCTAAGAACTTAAGAACCTATAGTAGTTTTTGCCTTTAACTTGAACAAGGACATTGTTCTTTTGTTTTCTTGAGCCCTGGTTCACATCTAGGCGGCACCGCTTTTACACGTTTGTACGCGTGTTAGCAGCATGCGGTTATTTGCGCGTTGTGCACATTTTGTATACGCGTTTTACCGCTGTAAAGGCGCAAAAACGCTCACATAAAATGTGCAACATGCTTATGTTGCATTTTTTTGTTCATTTCCAATGAAGTCTATGGGGAGGAAAAGCGCTTTTAACTGCCCAAAGAAGCTCCTGTATCTTTTCAGGTGTCTGTCGTTTTCCTGCTCTGCGTTTTTCTGCTCAGGTGTGAACCATGGATTCACACCTCAAGGACCATGGATTTCTTGTGTTGGGCAGATAAAAGCGCTTTTCGAACTGCTCAAAAACGCCTAGGTGTGAAACAGGGTTGAGTGTGAGGGCCCTTTTCTTGAAGTTCATTGTGGTGTTCCCCCATTTTGAGGCATGCTGGGATCAGAGGCGTAGCAAGGTCATGATGCGCCCAAGGACAAGTGTTTCTTTAGTGCCCCCCCACAAACCAAACCATAGTTCAATCGTGATACACACGATCCATGCAGTCTGAAGGATGGAGGGCCACAGACTTATAGAAGGGGGTACGGTCACCTGCAATGTCGGCGGTTACAAGGGTCCCCAAGTGGCGAAATGCTGGGGCCCCATCACAGCTGCAACTGCTGTGACCCTGGTAGTTCTGCCACTGTATAGAGGACTACAAATCCCAGCAATACATTACACACCAATGCAGAATACCATTATCTATAGAGGACTACAAATCTCAGCAATACATTAAACAGCAATACATAATAATACCACCAGCTATAGAGGACTGGTACTGGGCCCCGTACCCTGGTCCACGGTGCCAGGGAGCTCTGGGCCAGTTCCTCGGCACACTGGTAGCACACTCCCTACACCTGCTCTTCATTGATGGGCTGCTCTTAGGTATTCATGATAATGCCCCCACATCCCCCTGCACAAATTGCCCTTTTGCCACCTTTCCCCCTGGATCTGCCACTGACCTGACCTTCAATCCCAGCTATGGGGTACAGAGTTCACCTGATCTCCACTCCCATCCCAGCTATGGGGTGCAGAGCTCCCCTGAACCTCAATCCCAGCTATGGGGTACAGAATTCACCTATGGGATACAGACCTCACCTGATTTCTCATCTCAGCTATGGGGTATAGACCTTACCTGACCACCCATCCCAGCTATAGATTACAGAGCTCACCTGACTTCTCATCCCAGTTTGGGGTACAGAGCTCACTTGACTTCTCATCCCGGCCCGCGGCTCACCCCCTGCCACTGTGCCACCTCTCTCCTCTCCCACCACCATCAAACCAGATGGCTGGGGTGGCAGGGTTAGTTTAAAATTTTTTTCTTTATTTGTTTTTTACTCTTTTATATTTTTAACTTTTTTTTCTTTCTTTACTTTTTAAAATGTTTATTATCTTATTATCTTTTACTTTTTATCACCTTTTTTAATTTTTTAATTTTAATGATTATTTTTTACATAATTTGTATTCATTGTATAATTTACCAATTTTAATGTTATTTTTTTAAATAAAAAAAAATAAAAAATTCTTTATTTTGAATTTTTACATATTAATACAAAAACAAACTGCCACCTGGACAGCATATCCAACATAGACATTTCATCTTAATATATGCATTTAAATAAATATAATTAAAATATTATATGAGATATCGTCTTTTATTCTACCAATTTAGTCTACCAAAAATCTAATAATTCTTTAATAACCATTTCCTAAGTCCCGTCTAGTTTAACTTAACTGGCCCCACATACTTTTAAACTTAATTACAACATACATAGACAGATAAACAACAACAAAAAAAAGAAGAACAAAGGAGGGACTCCTCGTAATCTGTATATGTCACCGGTTTGAGACCATTGTTAATGTACCAAAGACATCACCAAAGCATAATCGACTTAAATTCCAACCAACATGCCCATATTTTATAGAATCATTTATATTGGCCTTTAGATGACAGAACCATCTCTTCCATAGTACAGATATTATCAATTTTCTCGAACCACTGATGTAAAGGAGGGATGGAGACCTTCTTCCTAAACTGTGCTATCAAAGCTATTGCAGCATTAAGTAGATGAGGGATCAGTTAGGATTTAAATCTAGCTGTAGATTCTACAGTGCAATGGACTAACATACACCACGGGTCATCCTCAAAAGAAGAACCCATAATGTTCTCAACATAAGTCCTCACCTGACCCCAATATCCCTGTACAGTGGGACAAGACCACCATATGTGCGCCATTGTACCCCTTTGTCCGCATCCCCTCCAGCACAAGGGGGGAAAGATCACCATACATTTTTTTTCACTTTAACTTTATTGCTATCACACAGGTGCTAACAAGCCCCTGTGTGATAGCATTTGGAGGTGACCGGTTCTCTTTATTAAACCTGTCACCTCCAATACAGGAGTTCAAGCACAGCACTGTGCTGGAACGCCTGTGATAGCACCCCTTCATACCGGCACCTGGGGGCAAGTGGCCCCCACGCTACACCACTGGCTGCTAGTCATCCTGGGCTGGTGTACAGTTTTTTAGTTTGTCAGTTTCCAAGCCTCGTGTAGGCAGCAGTATGAGCCAAAGATTAAAGACTTCTTGGAGTCATTTGAGAAACATAGGAAAAGGATTTTATATTGAACACAAAATTCCTATTTTTTTAAAATTTTATTTTTGATAGAGTAGGGGAAAGTTAAAACTGCTGTCCCATTAGGAAGATCCCGTAGACTCAACAGGAAGTGGAGGATATATTTCCAATGTATGGGAAATCCCCTTTTATAAAGTTGTCATAGGCACAAGTGTGCCTCTCGGAAGATTTTCCCTCTATTCCTGTTATGGTGGCAACTCAAAATTTTTGATTTGCCCTTACTTTTATTCCAAACGACTTTGGTAATCTGGACAATAAGAGAGAGTGAATCTCCCTAAAGATTACCACACACATTACAATCTGATTGTACAATCTCCTTTTAGATCTACCAACAACTATGTAGTGCAAGGGACTGCCTGATTGGATGGATTAGGTAGGTCCTACTATTACATAGATTGGGTAAATCTAAAATTGATTGTACAAAAATTGTAATGTGTGTGGTGACCCAAGCAGGGATACAGACAGCAATAGCAATGGCAGTGGTTCTAACCCCTCATCACCCTTTAAAATTTTAAACACAAATATTGCCTTTAATTATAGTATACTTTTATTTAATGTTCATTTATTGTTTTATTTTTATTTAGTGGCCAAAATGGAGAGTAATGGGAACATCAAAGGCTGACAGGAGCCCTTATTCCAATGTAACACACAGGCCTGACTTTTAACCAGAGACATGGCTACTGGAAAGTGCTTCTGGCCTGAGACAGGAGGTTTGGGGAGCAGCGACAAAACATATTTATACTCCATACTTAATTTTTCATTCTTTTTCCCTTTTTCTGGATATTTGTGCTTAAATCTAAATGAATTGCAAGGAGAACAGTTGAAGAGGCTATTAAGAGTCACAAGCTGCTTGGCGATAGATGACGATCTATGCCTGTATGTCTTTACTCATGTGTCCCTAGGACAGCATGATGTCTGGGCACAGTTCTACTATAACTTGGACCTCTAACCTTGGCATCAACCACAATTTGTATTAGTTTACATCTTTTAAAGTTACAGGTGACAAAAAAAAAGCATATTTTCATTTTGGATTATTTGCTCATGCAGGGAGATGCACTGGAACAAGCAATTATAAGTCAGGCTCCACAAGTGGAGAAGCTCATTGCTACCACTGCCCATGAGCAGATGGCATGGTACCATGGTAACATCAGCAGAAGTGAAGCTGAGAGAAAGCTGTACTCAGGAGCACAACCAGATGGTAAATTTCTGTAAGTATGATGCAAGTATCTAATACTTTAGAATTATTGGTATGTTCTACTGCTAACCTCTTTTATGTAATGATACACTTCATAATATCCTGTATTAGTAAAGTATATATTACATTAGTAACAAACTCACTTGTAAACATAGGAAAAATACCAATAACCATTTGAGGACTAGCAGTTGTCTAGTCTATACCCTATAGATAAAACCATGTTTCTATTGGTTTTCCTGTAATTCCTCAATACTTACAATACCACAGTCATAGGTACCGTATATTGTTTTTTAGGATAACATGCCATTCTTTTGATAGTATTACTTTTTGTGACTTCTATTAATTCTGACACTACATTGGTGAACTATTTACTAGTCAAATAAAGGTAATTAATGTTTTTTGTTGTTTTTTTTTTAACATAGATGTAAGCATCTGCTTACAGCATTAGTAAGTAAAAAAAATCTTTCACATTCAAGCAGTATAAACAAACCTGTTTTAAAATGTTCAAAAAGGCTGGACAAATGGCATAATTAGAAACGTAGAAATTATTATTAATCAGGAATTACATAGGAAACAATGTTTATAAAAAAATTACCAGGTCACAGACCTGCAAAGACCTGCAGCTGTTTGTATTATAAGAGATCTTTTAAAACCACACCACCAAAATAAGGTGGTGTGACCTATGCCCACCCATGACAAGGCAAATGGCCTTTTCTTGCATTCTGGCAGCACTGGAAAAAACGGCCAGCACAGCCCGAACGCATAGGGCGTGAGCGGGCCCTCAAGTTAGAGAAAAGGTCAAGACTTCAAGAAGATAATACAGTCCATATGGGAGTCACACAAAGGAAAAGTGTGAACTGTTTTAAAATAATATTACCTATACCCTATACACGATATGAGTTTATTTTAGAGTTGGTTTCATCAAATCACAACATATGTGGTTTAGAAAAGCTTGAGAAATGTAATTCGGATTTCTAAAAGGTTTCTATTAACCACTTCCCGGCCAGGCCATTGTAAACGCCTGAGGTCCCGGTAAGTGCAGCCCCCCCTCCGCGGCTCCCCCCCTCCCACTGTCACGCTGGTCTCGCGCTCCGCTGTGCCCGGTGCGAGCCCGGGACCAGCATAGTGGCTCTCGGACAGGGGAACAGATGGAGATAGGTACACTATCTCCCTCCGGTCCCCTCTACGCTGTCAGAATGCGGAAGTGACATTGTTTCCTAGCATAATGTTTAAAAAAAACTTTTTTTTTTCAAAATGTTCAATAATTTTTCCTTAATATAGCAAAACATAAAACTGCAATGGTGATTAAATACCACCAAAAGAAAGCTCAATCTGTCCCCAGATTTTTTTTTATAAAATTCATTTAAGTACAGCGTTGCATGACGGAATAAATGTCAGTCAAATACCGCAGCTCTGAATACTGATAAATAGACTGGCCAGGAAGGGGGTCTAAACACCTGGTCTTCAAGTGGTTAAATTCTTCTAAAGGGCTAACAGGTTTCCTTTTTTTATTTTACATGTCATTTTTGTTGAAAGTTTTCCAAAACAGGTCAGTGCAGTAATTACAGGATCAGAGTTGTACGGAACAACATAAGTAACAAACAAAATAAAGTAACGATTATACCGATAAGCATCACAATCATCATTGAAACCATGTAACAACACCTAAGTAGATCACTAGGGGACTAGAAGGGTATAGCAGGGAGCATTCAAGCGATTACCTTGTAGTGGTGCGTCAAAGGACATCTAGAGTGCCTATCGTGCCTGTCAATACCACTCCGTATCTTTGAATAAAAACATCACCTCTCTTAGCTGACTCAAAAATAGTTCAGATGTTAGATATGGGGTCCAGGTGGTAAAAAATCTGTCTGTGTATGAGCGGTTGTATTGGGCATCAAGCTTATCTAGCGACAATAGGTCATGAAGGAGTTCTTTCAGGGTAATTAATGAGGGAGGGGCAGGTGACAATCAGTTCGTCAGGATGGCCTTTTTGGCAGCTTTAATGCAGATATGTTCCCACTGGGAGGGTTGTCTAGTGGTGATCGGTGTGGAGGGATCAATTACATGAAAAAGGCAGAAGGCCAGGTCGGTGGTTCTGTGGGTACCAGAACAGGAATTCATGTAATTAAGGACGCATGACCAGAATAACTTAATGGAGGGGCAAAGCCAGATAAGATGTTCCAAATTTGGGGATTGGGCATCGCACTTGGGGCATGATGTTAGCCAGTTGGGGGAGGGGGTGGATTTATATTTGAGATTAAAAGCATAGAATGCTCTGTGTATTAGTTTGAACAAAAGTTCCCTCCACACCTCACAAACGATGGCTTTTCCTTGAGGTAACTGAAGAAAGGTTGCCCATTTAATGATGTGTGTGGGAAAGGTACTAGAGGAGATCAAGTGTAGTGACGAATGGCTGGTGTGGACGATAGCGGAAAGTGGCATCTTCACTGTCGGAGAGGACAGTAGTATCTGAAAGGGGCCATGGGATATCTTTGACCAGAGTGGAGGGAGATTGTCGGCAATGAAATGGCATGTTTGAGCTTATTGGAGAAAGTGGTTGCTAGAAATTCCATGCATACTCTGCAAGTCTTCTAGAGTTGCCCTGAGCAGGGCAGCCATCAGAAATGTTGGGGCCCCTTACACGGCTTTAGGCCGGGCCCCCCCCCATACCGCCGACACACTGAGCCAGTCGCACACTATTATTATACATGTATATAGCTCTGACATATACCGCAGTGCTGTACAGACAACACTGAGCCAGTTAAATCAGTCTCTGTACAGAGGAGCTTGCACTCTAATGTCCCCCCACAGTCACATACTATTATAATACACTTATAAAGCTCTGACATATATCGCAGTGCTGTACAGAGAACACTGAGCCAGTCACATCAGTCAAGCTTGGAGCGGTGGAAGCAAAAAAAAAAGTCTGGTGTGCAATATAGTGAAATGGAAAGTGTAAAATTATACAGCAATCAATGCAGAATGGCACCAGCTATAGAGGACTACAAATCCCAGCAATAATACATTATACAGCACAATGCAGAATACCACCGGCTATAGAGGAATACAGCAAATCCCTGCAATACACTATACATACAGTGTATAATGTATTGTTGGGATTTGTAGTCCTCTATACAGCACAATGCAGAATACCACCAGCTATAGAGGAATACAGCAAATCCCAGCAATACAATATACATACAGTGTATAATGTATTGCTGGGATTTGTAGTCCTCTATAGCTGATGGTACATATACAGCGCAATGTACCATCAGCTATAGAGGAATACAACAAATCACTATCCCAGCAATACATTTATACTGCATGTGGGGGTAGTGCCGGCAATCTTACCTGCACATTCTTCAAGCATCTTTACTTTCTTCCCCCGAGATCTTGGGACTGCGGCAGCTGCCATTTCCCCACGCTGCCGTCTCCCTGCAACGACATGATCATCTTGGCGGGCAACGTCTTAGTGGGCAGCGACGGGAGAGCGCTCAGAGCTGGGTGAGGCAGGGAGGAGGTGCGGCGTGTGGCGTGAAGCGTGCGGCACGTGTGGAGCCGCAAACAGGGGCAACTAATCGAAAGCCGACTAATCGATGATGAAAAACGTTGACAACATTTTCCATCATCGATTTTAATCGACTTAGTCAATTAGTTGTTGCAGCCCCAGTCACATCAGTCCCTGTACAGAGGAGCTTACACTCTAATGCAGAATGGCACCGGCTGTAGGGGGACTACAAATCCAGGGATCTTTTTTTGTGCAGCAATGCAGAACAGTACCTGAATTTGACTCAGGGCTTAGTGACGTGCTGGACTCAGGTATAAGTGACCCGCTGGACGCAGGGACTAGGGACCTGCTGGACTTGGGGATTAGCGACCCGCTGTATGCAGGGATTAGCGACCCACTGAACGCAGGGCTTAGCGACCCACTGGACGCAGGGCTTAGCGACGCGCTGGATGCAGGGCTTATTGATGCGCTGGACGCAGGGCTTATCGACGCGCTGGACGCAGGGCTTGGCGACGCGCTGGACGCAGGGCTTGGCGACCTGCCGGATGCAGGGCTTAGTGACGTGCTGGATGCAGGGCTTAGTGACGCGCTGGACACAGGGCTTAGTGACGTGCTGGATGCAGGGCCCACCTGATACCCCACACATACCTGAGAGTGACCCTGAAGAGCCCACCATAGATGCTGCACAGCCCATCTGATACTCTCTATTGTGGACTCTGCAGGGGTCTCAGGTGGGCTGGTCAGGGCTGCATCTCCCTCCCTATCTCCCTCCCAGCTCCCTGCTTTTCTTACCTGGCCTCCTCTGCCGCTGGACTGGCCGGAAGTGACGTGATGTCACTTCCGGCCGGTCCGAGATCAGTACAGCATTGTACTGGATTGGCAATGCTGGTGCCCTGCGCTGCTAGGGCCTGACCGCCTCCTCTCCTGTCACCGACGGCCAATACTCATGTAAGGGTCCTGGGCAGGCCCCCAAGGCTGCCCAGGTCCCTTACATGAGTATCGGCCGTACCCCCCTGATGACGGCCCTGTCCCTGAGGGTTCAGTAAGTCTTTAATTGTAGCAATTCCTCTATTCTCCCATATAGAGAAGACTGGAGATGCACTACCCGCAGGGAAGGCCGGGGATGATGTAAGAGCAGGGCCGGTGCAAGGATTTTTGCCTACACAGGCGAAGGTGCATTTTATCTCCCCTACTATTGGAATTTGAATGTCTTCTGGGATTGTATGTCCAATACACTTTTAACTAGGGATGCACCGATACCGATACAAGCATCGGTATCGGCGGCGATAACGAGTATTTGCATGAGTACCGTACTCGTGCAAATATTCCAATACAAAAAACGAGTACCTGTGCCGCGTCTGCCATCTTCAGGGACCCGAAACCGCCGCACACAGGACCTCCATCGCGTCTTCAGTCATCTGCTCCATTCTGACCTCTTCTCCCGCTGATTGGCCGATTGGATGATTGACAGGAGTGACTGGTGAGGAAGCCTGTCATCATCCAATCAGCGGGAGAAGAGGTCAGAATGGAGCAGATGACTAATGAACCTACCTCCTTTGAGTACAATCAATCTCTTTTTATTATTTTTTGCTAAATAAAAGGATTTTTTGCACCAGGAAAGGCGCCCGGTTGTCACTGCCCGGCGGCCGGCGCCCCTCCCCCGTCGCTGCACCGGGGCAGCCCCACCATCACCTCCCGATTGTTACGCCACTGGCGAGACCCATGGCTTAAGAAACAGTTGTGGAGCAATAGAGGTTGAGATCATTAGCCTTGACTGATTCTGGAATGCCTATTATTCTTAGATTTTTACGTCTGGAGCGATTCTCCAGATTGTCCACTTTATCTTGCAGAGTTTGCCAGTGTTTAGCTGTATCACTGTGAGTGTGCTGCGTCTCAGCGGAGTGATCTACTAAGTCACAGACACACAGCTCCATGATCTGCAGATGCTGGGTTTGAGCCTCCAGGGTGGCATTAAGTTTCCCCAAATGGCTTTGTAAGGACCTTGCTATTATAGAGGCTATGTCTGCTTTTAGGCATTTCGCCACTTCAGAGGCTATCTGCTTGAAATCAAGTGAGGGTTTTGTGACTGTGTCATGATATGGCTCACCCTCAGCAGCCTCATATGTGTCTCCCTGAGGCGTGTCGTCAGCTGTTATCTGACGGAGGTATCACCACCGTCAGATTGGGCCGTTGTGAGAGCCCTCCTTGCTCTCGGCGGGCGCTCAAGGTACCAATCCATGTCGGGCGAAGATTCGGCACTCCGAACATGCTCAGACTGAAGCCAGCCGATGTACTGCTGGAATCAGCCATACAGAGCCGAAGTGAATAGGCGAACGCCGTTCAGCTCAGTTTACTTCGGCTCAGTTATTCACTCAGCTGCCTAAGTATTTTTATTCTAATTCAGTAAGATATGGATTTTTTTTTGTAAGAAGTGCATTGTAATCCATGGCCTTGTGTTGACGGGCTTTGGGCATGAGTTTGAGACACTTTTGAGATCATTCAGAGTTCATTGATAGGTGCATTTGACCTTCTTCTCACCTGCATTTGACCTGCTTCAAGTGGGTTTTGCATTCTCATAGGCTTGTATGCAAATATAAAGCTTGTCTGACACAAACAGAAGGTACTTGACACATAGTGGTCAAAAGGAGATGAGGTATAATAATACAGAAATGAACAACTGTGGAATTAGTACAAATATAAAAGATGTGAAAGATAACCTGGTAGGTACAAAACCGGATGGTAGTAATCTATACCTACCCAGCTTTCAAGATTTGTATCTGAATTGTATCTCATTTCAGATGGACAATAAATGTAAATTAAAAATATTAACAACTACTTACAAAGCGATCCAAAACTCTGCCCCAGCTACATCACAAACCTAATCTTAAAATATTACCCAAACTTTCCTCTGCAGTCCTCCCAAGACCTCCTGCTCTCTCGTTCCCTCGTCAACTGCCCCCATGCTTACCTTCAGGACTTCTCTAGAGTCTCTCCCATCCTTTGGAACACTTTACCTCCACCTGTCTGGCTATCTCCTATTCTGCCTTTAGACAATCCCTGAAAACGTATCTCTTCAGGGAAACCTATTCCGACTTCTACCTAACAAGTGGACTTTTACTTTCTCGAACAACTCATCCCCACGCAACTACTACCTTTTTTATCACATGCCCCTCTCTTTTAGATTGTAAGCTTTCACAAGCAGGACTTGCACAAGCAGAGCTAAATGTAGAATAGGAGAAATTACTTGTTTCTCTACAAGTGTTCTCGGCGATGTCGCCGAGTACACTTGTAATCAGAGTTCCGGTCCGTCCTTCCCCCGCTGCCCCCCTCCCTCCCCTGCACTTACCTCTCTCCATGCTGCATCCTCCCGGCTCCGTCTCCCGGCTCCGTCCACGCCGCTGCCGCCTTCAGAATGGAGAGCTGTAAGCAGAGCGGCAGGGTTAAAACTAACCCTGACGCTACGTGTACACACTGAGAGGGGAGAGCTGTGCTCTTCCCATCTCAGCTGTCAAAAGAGTTCCAACACAGTGCTGTGCTAGAACTCCTGTATTGGAGGTGACAGGTTCAATAAAGAGAACCTGTCACCTCCAAATGCTATCACACAGGGGCTTGTTAGCACCTGTGTGATAGCAAAAAAGTTAAAGTGAAGAAAAATGTATGGTGATCTTTCCCCCCTTGTGCTGGAGGGGATGCGGACAAAGGGGTACAATGGCGCACATATGGTGGTCTTGTCAGCTCCTCAGTAACTTGTTAGCTCCTTTGTGATAGCAATAAAGCTAGGTGAATTGATAAAAAAATAATTACATAAATAAAAGTAAAAAATAAGAAAATAATTATAAATAAAAAATAAGTTAAAAAATTATAAAAAAATTAAAAGATGACAAGATAAATAAAAATGTGAACAGTAAAAAAATTAAAAAAGTGATAAAAAAGTTTTAAAAAAGGAGAGAAACAAAAAAAAACCCATAAAAAAAACTTAAACCAACCCTGCAGCCCCCGCATTCCCTCGGCAGGGAGAGGGAGGGTGGCATTGCCGAACCCAGCCTTGGGGCGGCAGGAAGGGTAAACCCGGTCCTGGTTGGTGGGAGCTCCTGATGGTGATTTGTTAATGTCCTGGGAACACTGTCCCTTTTGCAGTTTATGGTGGTGTATTGCATATTCTACCTACATTCTGTTGCATGAGAACAGAGAATCTACAGAGAGATGGTAGGTTCAGCCTTGGATTTCCAGTGTTCTTCCCCATTTTGAGCTTTTTCTGTTCTCTGCAACCTGCTTGGACTGCTTCTAACCCCTCCATCTCTAAAGTTTTCTCACTGCGCTTGTTTCCCCACAACTTCACCCCCATTTGTTATTGTGAGTGTGCCCATGCTTATTTTACCCACAGGCAGAATGTTTTAATGATTATTCTTTCATGAGCTTTTTCCTATTTAAAGGATAAGGAAGAGGAAGGAAGCAGAGTATGCCCTTTCAATAGTGTATGGAAAAACAGTCTACCATTATAAGATTGACTTTGACAAATCTGGGAGATATGCAATCCCTGATGGAACCAAGTTTGACACTTTATGGCAGGTACGTCTACCAACATTTAACATATCGGGCAAGATATATTTATTTATTTATTTATTACAGGTATTTATATAGCGCCGACAATTTACACAGCACTTTACATAGTTACACATTCACATCAATCCCTACCCTCAAGGAGCTTACAATCTAAGGTCCCTATCTCACATACATACAGGGCCAACTTAGAGAGGAGCCACTTAACCTACCAACATGTCTTTGGAGTATACACAGTATAGCTATTGCTTACAGTCCCAAAGCAAAATCATGATAGACCTTGCTGATATCTTAAGGTGGGGCACAGAGGTGGTTTTCCAGTTAGCATTACGTATTGCTGATAAACCAAGCACTCTTGGCTCTGTAAGGGCAGCAAACATTCAGTGAGAGGTAGCACATGTGTTACTAAACCGCAACTTGTAAACAGGTATTGGCAGCATTCTTAGATACTGGGAAAGAAAAACCAATGTGTCTTTGTCAGTGTCATCACAGAGAACTGTAAAGTAGCCCTGAACCATAAAAGTCATTTAAAATACCCAAATGCTTGAGGTATAATCTGATGGACACTTTATCTAGAGCCAAGAGAAATATAGAGGCTTTAATTGCTAATCTATTTCTGAAAAAGCTAGTTGCTTGACTGTTGAGTTTGGACTTTAGTACATTTGGAGTCATATTAGATCAGCATGACAGACAGACACCCAGCTTTTATGGCGAGGCCTCCACATTTCCTTTCCTACTGCAGGTTGCCTTTAAAGTAATCCCATTACTTACACTGGTGCAATTCCAAAACAATATATCAGAGCACACCAATGACCTTCAAAGCATGCATGCTTGGTTTCATACCCACATTATTTTTGTCCTAAATTATTTTTCAAATGCTTTTGCTTCCTACACAAATCATACTGTGCACTGGATAAACAGAACCCATGTACAACTTGGCCATATAGCAGTCATATGATTAGTGTGTTTTTATTAGGCTCTTGACTCAAATATGTTAATAGGCACATATAGGGTGCCTGTGCCGTGTACTGCTGCAAATTCATTTGATGCAGGTGTAAAAAAAAAACTGTCTGAGCACCTGTGCCTAGGGTTGCCACCTGTCCAGGATTCACCCGGACACTGCGGGGTTTAAATGCTGTGTCCGGGTTTCATGGTAGCAGAAACCCAGACACAAGATGTCAGGCAGACAGGGGCAACCAAAATTAAGACAGGGCTACTGGCCCCCCACTGAAAATAGTCTCAACTGTGATATTTGCATATGAATAAGACACGACTCCCATAAACATTTCTGCGCGTTGCTAGAGTGTTCGGGTTTCGTTTGAAAAAAAGGTGGCAACCCATCCTGTGCCCAGACTATGCACAATTTAAGCAGTAAAAGTAGCAGTAAAAGTGCTTCAAAACAAGCATCACTGACTTCTCTAGCATCCCCAAAGATCCATAAAGATCACAACAAAGACTCTAAAGTTGGGATTCAGTGAGTTGGTAGGTCAGCTTAAAAACACCTGCTGTGTGTTTTCATTAGAAACTATTGTAATGCAATGTAAAGTAACTATCCAAAGCTAGGATTTCCGTTCTTCTGCTGTGGAGTGAGGTTTTTTTTAGTGATTGTTCATATGTAAATGCTTTAGGGGACGTTCACGCCATATGCAGTGCGTTCCGGCTATTTCATGCGACTGGAAGGGGCGTGGCGGGCCATTTAAGTGAATGGCATCATAGCCACGCCCTCTGGCCGCAATGTGATCGCCCGCACGGGATCGCAAGGCACAGTGTGCTTGCAGTGCGGTCGGGTGCGATCAAAATGCTGCAAAAAAGTGAGCCGGCCGCAATGCGAGGCAGTGTGTTCCGTCCAGAATCGGAACGCACTGCTTATGGTGTGAACGAACCCTTAGTGTGCATAACTAGGGCATTAAGCATGCATCATGCATGTTACATACATTAGTACTAATAAATTCTGTATGATACAAGTAGATGCATCATGTCTAATTCCATTAAAATACACTTGAAACTTCTTAATACAAGCAGAAAAAGGAAACAAAAAAAGTAATTCTATGGTTGTAAATACTTTTTAATGTTTATTTTACATTGCCTTTGTTTAATTCTACTCTTTTGCTGTCATTATACAGTTGGTTGAATATCTGAAACTTAAGCCTGATGGAGTCATAACTGTATTAAGAGAAGCTTGTCCCAATGGTAGCGCATCAGCTGGTAAGTCAGAAGATTTTGTCACATCAATATGTACATTTTTTTCGAGTGAATATTAAACTGTTGAAAGCTTTAGTTTCTCATTGGTATTTTATGGCCCATAAGTCTCCGTTGACACTTAGGCGACAGCTGTTTTGTGCGTTTTCTTTTTATGCACGCATGCGCATAAATCAAGTTGAAATATACCAAAAAATATCCTCATGTACTTTTTCCAGCTACAGGTGTTTTGCTTATTGCAAAAATACACTCAGATGTGAACAAGGACATAGAAATGAATACGATTTTTTGCGTGGGGGAATATTTTTTGAGCGTTTTTAAGGCAGAGAAAGCACTACAAAACGCTCAGTCTGAACCAGGCCTTATTGTATGACCATCTTAAACAGCTTTTACACACATCTTAAACACACTGATAGCTAGTGATATTTCCAGCAGAAAAAAACTGTGTTATAATTGTTATGAAATTTTACATACAAAGCGAAATAAAAAAGGGCTAATATTTGCTGATCTGTAGGATAAAACGTTAAGGACTCATATACACTGTTGTGGTGCGTTAACGCACTTGTGTTCACGTGTGTCTTTTTATACATATTCCAGTGTTAAGACAGCCCACTCATAGGGACTATGCTGTCAGCCCACCTCAGTACATAAGACATCACACCTGCAGTGCACCATGAAAAAGTCTTCACTTCTACAGTATGTGTTGTTGTAAGCTATAGTGCAGGTGTTGTCATTTTTGCATATGCGTGGAGCGCTATTTAAAAAGACCCAAACTTGTACTTTAATGCATAGCAAAAACACACCTTTTTACTGCAATGTTAAAATATTTAAGGGCGATTCACATCTGAGTGTATGGTTAATTACAAGATTCCGTGTGATTTACGTACAACGTAGCTAGGGTGCGTTACCATTCTTTTGAATGGCACCCCATCACGCCCCCTGGCCATTGTGCACTGCAACACAGCACAACATGCGGTACCACAATACCGTGCATTGTGGTGTGGTAGAAAAAAGTAGTGCATGCTTTTTTCCATGGAACCATTATTCGATGCACAGTATTGCAGCACCATGCTGCAGTGCCACTGAAATAAATGGCAATGCACCTAGCGCATGATAAAGCACACTAGCTCTGCTGTGCAATAGCATGCATTATTCACATGGAATTGTGTGATTGTTCAGATGTGAAAGAGCCCTTAGAAAGTGCTCCTCAAAGAAAAGAGTTCATTCTTGCCACTCCTGCTTTTTTTTACATTGCACTGTAATGCAGGGCCGGTGCACGCACACACACACTGCCCAGTCCCTGCAATCCCCACCAGAGACCCCCCGGAGCCCACCATAGACCTTGCACAGAGACTCTAAGGTGGGCTGTGCAGGATATATGATGGTCTGTGGAGGGTCCCTTTCCCTGCACACATGCTGTTCCTCTTACCTGCAGCTCCCCAGCCTGCTTTCAGGACATGCCTCTTCTTCCTCCAGCCACCGAAGCATCTTGCTGGAGCCTTCGCTGGCCGGGGCCGCGTCTCCCATGGTCCCATCTTCTGTGCCCCATATCATCCTGTGCCTCAATGTTATCCTGTGTCTTCATGTCATCCTGTGCCCCCATGTCATCCTGTGCCCCCATGTCATCCTGTGCCCCATATCATCCTGTGCCTCCATGTTATCCTGTGTCTCCATGCCATCCTGTTTCTTCATGTCATCCTGTGTCTTCATGTCATCCTGTGCCCCCATGTCATCCTGTGCCCCATATAATCCTGTGCCTCCATGTTATCCTGTGCCCCCATGTCATCCTGTGCCACCATGTCATCCTGTGCCACCATGTCATCCTGTGCCACCATGTCATCCTGTGCCCCATATCATCCTCTGCCTCCATGGTATCCTGTGTCTCCATGCCATCCTGTGTCTTCATGTCATCCTGTGTCTTCATGTCATCCTGTACCCCCATGTAATCCTGTGCCCCAACTCCTGTGCCCCCGTGTCATCCTGTGCCCCATGTAATCCTGTGCCTCCATGTTATCCTGTGCCCCCATGTCATCCTGTGCCACCATGTCATCCTGTGCCACCATGTCATCCTGTGCCCCATATCATCCTCTGCCTCCATGGTATCCTGTGTCTCCATGCCATCCTGTGTCTTCATGTCATCCTGTGTCTTCATGTCATCCTGTACCCCCATGTAATCCTGTGCCCCATATCATCCTGTGCCTCCATGTTATCCTGTCTTCATGTCATCCTGTGTCTCCATGCCATCCTGTGCCCCCATGTCATCCTGTGCCCCCATGTCATCCTACGCCCCCATGTCATCCTGTGTCTTCGCTGCCAGTGCCAGGTCCCATTAGCGGCAAACTTTCCGGGTGGAGGAGAAGAGAAAACAGACAGCGATCACCGCTGCCGAAGCGGCAGAAGTCCCCCCCCCCTTGCTCCGGGCGGCTCCCGAGTCCCTCAACAGGTCGCCGTTGCCTCCAGGATGACGCCGCCGTTGCTCCGCCTTCTGCAGCCCTCGCTCCTTCACATGCGGCTGAGCGGCCAGGGGAAACAGGGGCGGGGCCACTTACGTCACTCACTGACGTAGGCAGCCCACACTGGTCTCGATCGGACGGCCGAAGCCGGACTTATGCCGGGCAGCCGACTGTCACTGTCAATTTTCCGCCCTGTTCCCTGGCGCCGTAAGGCAAGTGCCCATGTTGCCTTGCGCTAGCGACGGCCCTGCTGTAATGCAGTGTTACAGTTGCCTGAAGATTCTTCAGCATCCGGCACACTTCTTAATGTGTGTCAGATTCCTGGTCCTCTGCTGCACTCTGTGGTGTGTTCTCTAGTGCTATAGGGGCTAGTGGGAGTAACCATAGAGTGCAGGGGGGGGGCAGGTATCTGACACTGCTGGACACAGATGGATAGATAGATAGATAGATAGATAGATAGATAGATAGATAGATAGAAGATACTGATGTTTCTTCATTCAGCTCTATCTCTGCAATACAGTGCAGATTAGTGACATGGACATTTTGGAAGGCAAGTACGAAGGCTACTTTGTAGGCGGTACTGTTTTTCATTCTTAGGCCCCTTTGCACGGTCTGATCAGGAGGGGATCCGTGCATGGATGCCCTGCTGATCTGAATGGATGTCACTGTTGTCGTTTTGTGATAATAACAGTTCCCATCTTCAATGTTAATTTACATAATATTTATTGTATAAAACAAATATGGGTCGTCTATATCCTATAGCACTTGCAGAGGAGATATTTATTGGTAAGGGTGGTAGCAAAGTGCTCCCATTGGGTTATTATTAGTTCCAACATGGATAAGTATTAAGTGGTCTATTCACGAAGCTGCCGAGGGCAGCCGAGTGAATGACCGATCTGAAGTGAAGTGAGCCGAACACTGTTCGGAACAGGAAAGCAATTTTAGACAAGCTTTCAACCATGAGAAAACCATGTCACCCCCCACAGATTTTTCAACTATATTGAAGTACATGTTCTATAATTCATAAATCAGTAGGAATTCACACTGATCCTTTTTTTTGCTGAAGCCTAAAGTTAAGGAAATGGTTAATGCAAATTAATTGTTTTTGCATGACAACATATTGTATGTCATTGATGGTTTTTTTTGTTTTATTTTTTTAGGCAGTTGTGTTGCACTACCATCACTTCCAAAAGTTGTGAGTACAAAACACCAGATCGTTTTAAAATTAGTATTGTACAGACTTTGTATACGTTCCACAGTTTGCTAAAAAAAAAAACCAACATGAATTTACTGGGTAAAATTCAAGAAACTTTCTATTTTACATTGTTCTGCTTCGCTTGTTTTAATTGGATTTAAATGAATGGCACAGTCATATTCCTTTTGTGCTTCCATTATTAAGACTTTTGAAACCCCAAATGCATTAAGAATCTTTAAGAAGCAACATTAAAATAAACCTTTCATGTGTATATATGCTGTATATGTTTTTAAAAAAAATTATATTTTGAAAGGAATTGTTGTAGCCAGGTAGTACCTTGAATCTACTAGGTTGTTGTGGTTTTGTAAGGTGGTTTTGACTTCTCATTTTACACATGCTAGTTGTCTGTAGCTATGCATTCCTATGGTGACATTTTTTTTAATTCTCACGGCAGACAACAGCTCCATGTCAGAATAAAAAAAAGAGAAGAAAGCAGGGAAAGGTTTACTCTGCTCGATCGAGCAGAGTAAACCTTTCTGGGAGAAAGTGTTTCTCTCCCGGGCGGCCGGGAGCCGCTATCTAATAGCAGGAGACTCCCGGAGCGCCCGGGAGAGTAGGGCTGTCTGGAGATCAGCGTCCCTGGTTACCTGGTAACCAGGGACGCTGATCTCTCTGGAAGTGGCCGGAGCCAGCCGTAAGATCACGGCAGGCTCTGCCCAGCTATAAGAAGCAGGCTGTCACGCTCGGCCAGCTTCACCTTTCACCTCCGCTCAGTCGAGCCGAGGCATATGCCTTCGTCTCGACTGAGCCGCCTGGCCCACTTCGGGAGCTGTACGTGCTATAGTGAATAGCCCGTACAGCAGCCCTTATGTTCTACTGAACCAAAGGGGTCCTGGGGCTGAAGCTAGCCGAAGGATCAGCCGAAGCTACGGCTAGATCCTTCGGCTGCTTCATGAATAGACCCCTGAGTAATCCAGAACATGCACATAGATACTCTGCATTCTTATTTTGCATCAGTATCTTAAAACATTGAATCTAGAGGGTCAGCTTAACAGCCAGGCAAATAGATTTTCAGGAAGTTGCAAAAAATAGCAGCCTCCATAACTTTCTGGGAAAGTTTACTTGAAGCAACCAAAAAGGATAACAGCTACAGTGATTGTTTGAGTGAATACATTTAACCCTTGAAAAATAATTTTCTTTTCTAACATATGCATTTTTTTGTTTTCCCCAGAGGGAGTCAACAGGTAATTTTGACGGCTACACTCCTGAACCTTTCTTTGGTAATAATATAATGAAATTCAAATGATAAAGTTTGTTACAGTATTTTGACTTTATAGCCATCAGAAATGTAATTGTCTAAAATATTTAGTTACATTTGCAATATAATAGATATACAACACAGAAAACATAGCATGACAATACTTCAAAAGTAAATTTATAACTAAATTAAAATGGCTAAATATCCTGATGTTCATTATTTAGCTAAAGAAACATATTTTCACTAAAGCCCATAGGCTTTGTTCAATTCTGATAATGTAATGGAAGCCTTAAGTACAGAACATTGTTGAGATCGCCAACCTTTAAGCACCTTTCTGCTGAGAGATAGATAGAAATCCAAATAGAATATGTCAAGATCACGGTTTTTCTCCTATTGCAAATTCAACAGTGGAGACAGAACTTTAAAAAGTAAAAGTGAAATTATTTATTAATTTCTTACCTCTGGATCATGTGGAGGATGAATTAAAAGCACCCTGTAAAGGATTAGAGAAGTATTTACCTGTCCTGCAGCATATGGCTCCAAAAATCATGGAGCTAAATTTAGTATTGATTTCACCTATGTTCCTGTCTCCAGGACTACAGTTTACAAAGCTGCCAGATTGTAGAAAAACAGAAAGGTCAAATCTTTTGTGCTGGGAGTGGGACCCTACAAAAAAAAGCCTGTATCAAAGGGTGTAACTAGAATGTGTAGTTGTATACAGTGACTGGGTCCTTTTTGGAAATAGTTGATCTCCCTGCTTTTAGCTTTCCAGCACACACAACAGCTGTACCTGTATTCTGGTATAATGCTGATGGGGTCCATTGCCATGCAGGTGGTAAAAGATCATGCAGAATGCAGTATGCCATACAATTGTCAAGACTCTTGCGCACATTTGCTTTCAAAGGACGTATCATATGGTCATTCATTTAAAGTCATGAAAAAAATCACAACAAAAGACATTAGCTACAGTCTTTTTAATCTGATCACACGTGGTGGTTACCACCGCATATTTAGAGACAAGGTCCACCATTACCAATATGGAACAGTAGCCAAATGTCTTTGTGGACTACTTACAAATGGTTGTACATGTGCCACACTATTTGGAGGATCCTGCAGCTTGTTACTTAATTTCCTGTGCAGCACTGCAAATCAGTTGCACCCCTAGAAATCTAGCTTCCCTGAAGATGGAAGGCATAAAGAGTAGCAACTCCATCAGCCCAAAACAGGGTGATGGCTACTGGCTGCAGGACTTCTCTTCCTTCAATAAATACTTTAAATAGCAGTATGTATACCTGAATGGTGCCATGAATGGACCCCAGGGGTAGGCATCCTTGGCATTAAAGCTGTTGTTGAACTATAAGTCCCATGATGCATTGCAATAATAATAATGGGATTTGTAGTTTCACCATAGCTGGAGTGCCAAAATTTCCTACAGCTGGTGGACCCTGCCTGGCCATAGGCTGTGTTCGTCAAACTTTAGGTAAATGGACTGCGAGCACACCTTATAGAAGTGGAGATATGAAGAGAATCTGCATCCAAAGTTACCATTTCTTTCCACTGCATAGTTCCAGAAGTTCCTAATGTGGATGATACAATTATCACATAGGTGACAATCGTAGCAATGTGCCATTAACAACCTCACAATGTTCAGTTAAATGTCAATCATCAGTTTACCTCAAATATAATCTCTTGCAAAAATGTTTCTTTGCAGCGGGAGAAAAGGCACGGATTTTGCCCATGGACACCAGTGTTTATGACAGTCCATACAGTGATCCAGAGGAAATAAAAGATCGTAAAGTCTTCCTCAAGAGAGAAATGCTTATGATAGATGAAGTTGACCTAGGTGCTGGAAATTTTGGCAGTGTTAAGAAAGGAGTCTACAAGATGAAAAGGTAAATTAGTTTAATGTAAAACAGTGGGAGCCCTCTTTGTGACACAGCTTCTACATTGTGTAACAGATCAGGTCTAAATCTATAAGATATTGCCAGTGCCTCAAATTGACCTGGTCTTGTTGATAAGAGGGGTTGTCCCAATTAAGAAATTATGTTGTGATTCACACTATAATTGCCTCTATTTACTCTTTGAAAGTCCATATATTGAATTCAATGTGTAACAGATAGAGACTATATGAAGCCAGCTGATGTCAGTATAATTCTATACATTTACAGTATTTGTATTTTTTCTAACTGAGGGAATGTTTTATTAACCGACAAGCACATTTACAATCTTTAAATACATCTGGAAATCCAATTCCCTTTTACTGTATTCTGTGTCCATGTGGGCAAGAAATTCCCCAGTGTGTTGTTTAACCTTATATATAATCTGGGGAGGGGTGGGTCTGCTTACTGTGCAGCCTTTGCCAGTGCACATGTGCCTCAGATGTCCTGGGACACTAATGTAACGCAGCTCTGTTTTCACCAACCCCAATGTACAGGAATCATTCACACCAAGGGTGGTGAACCTCCATCCCTCCAGCCGGAGGCATTGCAAGATTCTCACAGCCACAGGCATGACTCCCAGAGACAGATGCATCATGAGATTTGTAATTTCACCACAGCTGGAGGGCCAGAGGTTCCCACCCCTGATTTACAAAGTAATTTTTTTTTAAATTAGAGATAAGGGTTGAATCTGCTGGATGAATTGGAGAGGGAATTTACATGATGGGGGTATGATGGTGATTGAATACAGTAGGGTTGGTAGTGTCTGAAATGAGGGGGATTTGCATGAGGGGGCTGGTACTGCCTGAATACTGCAGTTCCTCCTTAAAATTCCTACCAGACCTAAAGGGCCTGGTATGACTTTGGGGAACCCTACGCATGTATTTTTTAATTACTTTTAACTTGGGGTCCCTCCTAATATTTCTAGGGATGGGGACCCCACGCTGTTTTTTTAAATTTTCTTTTCTTTTATTAACTTGTCATTTTTTAATTCTGCTTGCTAGATCGGAGGCAGCAAGCAAAATAACCGGGCCTAATGCCGTTCGGGGGCATTCGGTTATTCAATTACTGCCGTTCGGCCCCTATGAGAATAGGGCGAACGGCAGGCAGTGAAGTGCCGGAGGTTTGACTCAGCCGATAAACATGTTGGATCGGCTGAGTCGAACGGCTCCTTCACTTCGGCTCAGCCGAACATGCTGAAGCCAGCAGAAGCCAGCCAATGTATGGCTGATTTTAGCCGATGTACGGCTGAAATCAGCCATACACGGCCAAAGTGAATAGCCGAACGGCCTGCGGCAGCTTAGTAAATAACCCCCTAAATATTGCTATCCTGTTCTCATGAGGCAATAAGATCTACGATGAACAGATAACAAGGGATAGCCAGGTATTTTGTAGTTCCCAGTGGTAATCAGATAGTATGAGTAGGTGGGTGGAGTCTTTTAGATATAAATGTAGATTATAACTAGACATGTGCACCAGCAAAAAATTTGTTTAGTTTCCTTTCGTTGCGCTTTGATTTTGATTTTGCTTTATTAGTTTTTCGGAATTCGTGTCCGAAAGTCAATTTGTTTCGGAATTCGGATTCGGACTAAATTCGTTCGATAATTTATCCGTACGAAATTTCATTTCGATTCGGAACAAAACGAATCGCACATGTCTAATTATAACCATCACGTTATAAAAATCACGTTATCACGTTATCCTGTTCTCATGAGGCAATAAGATCTGCGATGAACAGATAACAAGGCATAGCCAGGTATTTTGTAGTTCCCAGTGGTAATCAGATAGTATGAGTAGGTGGGTGGAGTCTTTTAGATATAAATGTAGATTATAACTAGACATGTGCACCAGCAAAAAATTTGTTTTGTTTCCTTTCGTTGCGCTTTGATTTTGCTTTATTAGTTTTTCGGAATTCGTGTCCGAAAGTCAATTTGTTTCGGAATTCGGATTCGGACTAAATTCGTTAGCGGTGATCCGTACGAAATTTCATTTCGATTCGATTCGGAACGAAACGAATCGCACATGTCTAATTATAACCATCACGTTATAAAAAATAAATTACATACCGTGAAAGGCCATTTGTAAGGTTATCCAGGATAGCAGTAATTGGTCGACCCGGTAGGTTGATGGGGTTAGGTAGGTGGTAGAAGGGTGTTTTTTTTTATACAGGAAAGAATATTCTTAATTGCTAATAATGTTGTCGATTTGCATATTAATATTGTCCAGTTTCTTTAGGAATACCTAATATTAAAGGAATGGACTTTTAGGTAAATATTATTTGAATGTCCTACTATTTGTCAGCAATCTGAACATTAAGGCCTGGTTCACACCTGGGCGTTTTACAGCGCGTTCCTACGCGCTGTAAAACGCTCAACATGTGAAAACCAATAATTGCCTATGGCCATGGTTCCCACCTGTGCGTTTTACAGCGCGTAGGAACGCGCTGAAAAACGCCCTACGCCCAAAGAGGTACAGGAGCTTCTTTGGGGCGTTTTTCCACGAGTTTCCATTGGTATTCCCGAGTGTGGATTGGGGTTAACAAAGCGGTAACCGCCGAGCCACACTCGGGAATACAGCGTACAGGTCTTACCTTGTCCGTGTTCCCCACTGTGTCCTCCGGCGGCTGCCGACTTCTGGGTTCCGTCCCTTGCGAGCGGAAGTTTAAAAGTGAATAATTTTTTTTAAATAGAGAAAATAAGAAAAAAAAAATCATTCCGCCAATGAAACACGCTTTTCACTGAACGGAAAAACGCGCTAAAAAACACGAAAAAAACGAGCTGAAAAAATACGCTTAGGTGTGAACCCAGCCTTACCTCCCACAATCCAGACTGTCCTGTATAATGATGCTCCCTTGTCTGCTTATTTAATGATGATGTTTTTATGTGATGATTTTATGTTCCATTAAATTGTTTAACATGGACAATTTTCCACATGCAAGACATTAAAGACTTGCTAGCCCTGCCCAGTGGGTCTGTTGTTAACCACTTAAACCACTTTTTATCTCTAAATCGCTTTGGGTCACTAGTGGGTTTTTTTTTAAATATCTCAGTTCTGCACTTTATATCTTTTAGGTCTTGTAGTCTACCCTAATGTATTATACATTGCTTTTTTGGGGGACAGATGGGGCTTTAATTTGGTGCCAAATTTGCATACATATATTTTTGTACATATATTATGTCCTTGGATTTTAATTGGAAAAAAAATCATTGTTTGTCATTTTTCTAAACACAACATTTATGTAATGTGCGCACCCCCCAAATATAATCAAAGTTAAATGTCATCCACTTAGTGTTTAGATCTGTTTTAATTAAACCCTTGTGCACACACTTATCTCTCCATCCCTGGCTTCTTCTGCATTGATATTAAAATGTACTACACTGAAAGACAATGACAGGGTCCCAACCTCGCAAACTTGTGTGTCAGGTAGAGTATGTGGTGTTTAGCTAAATTCTGTACTGGAAGTAGAGTCATCCAGCAGTGAAAGAGGTACCTGTGCTGCATGGTACAGTTGTATGATCAGTTTCAGTGTTGTAATAAAAGAAATCATGTGATCACAAAATTACAAATTTGGGAGTATTTTGTACACGTGTAGTTGCCATGATCAACAAGGAAGAAGCATTTGATTTTTTTGTCAGTTTTACAGAATAATAGATGGATACATGTTCAAATGGAAAGGTAATTGTGAACAATATTAAACTGCAAAATGTATTGAATTGCAATAACATATTTTTTCATAAAATTTTTAGTTTTACCTTTACCGTTAAGAATACAAAAGTGAATTGAAGGTTGCTTTAAATATTTCCTCTTTAGGGTAAATTTTTTGGAAGAAAATTGCTAGCAATCTTTCCTGCTTGGCAACCAGTGTCTCCGATGTTTCAGAATGTAACAGAAGTAATGGTTTGTTTTTCAGGCGTCAAATTGATGTGGCTATAAAAATACTCAAGCTGCAGGATGATAATGAAAAGTTAAGAAAGGAAGAGTTGATGAAGGAAGCAGAAATAATGCACCAGCTGGACAATCCATACATTGTCAGAATGATTGGTGTCTGTGAGGCAGAGTGCCTTATGCTGGTCATGGAAATTGCATCAGCAGGACCCCTAAACAAATTTCTGTCTGCTAAGAAGTACGTAAACACTTAAGATTAGCTACAGAAGTAATCAAACCATGATTCAAGTCAATGTGATGTCAGTGTAGCGTATTTGGCAAAAAAAAAAACAACCTTGTCTAATGTTAGCTACGTGTTTTCCGCTTGTTCCCATGCTAAGGTTTTATAAATCAGAAGACAGACACATGCAGAAAAGCTTATTTGGCATCTCCAAGCTCTCATAACAGGAAGAAATCAGCCTGAATTTTTTGCAGGTCAGCAGGGGTTAGGCACGCAGCATATTTTATGAACCTTTTGAGTCCTAGGCATGGTTTTCAAAAAGTGCTAAGGTTGCGTTTGTTTGTCTGATTTTTACACTTTACCAATAGACTAATTCTGCAGCAGCTGGTATTCCTAAGTTGTCTTCTATCCAAACTACTAACTATTCCTGAATTTCCCTTCCAGGATCATATGGGATCAGGTACTTTCAGGGGAATGTTCTGGGCATCAGCACCTGGACCTCTGATTTTTTTCTAAAGCATGCTATTAAAGCAGAAGTCTGGGCAAAAGGTTCTTAAGAAGTGTTTGTTTTTGTCTAACTGTTAAAAAAAAAAGAAAAAAAGTTATACTAACCAGATCCTCAGAGGCAGCTTGCTCTTAGACTGGTCCCCTCCGCTTCAGTGGTCTAAGGATCCTTGAGTCATCAAGTTCTATACACTGTGTATAGGATCTAAGGAAGTTGAGGGGGAGCAAGGCTTCAGGGACTGGAGTAGCATCCAGCCGGCTCCACAGTTCAGGTAAAGATAACTTTTTTTTTAGCACCTAAACAAAAATGAGCACTTGACCCTTGGAGTTCTGGGGTAACCTCACTGCAAGGGTTAAAAACATTTTTCCACCAAGTTCTGCTTTGAAGCATTATTCTGGGCAGTGCATTCACAATGTTTCTAGTTAATCCTTGAAATCATTAGAATTTTCTTGTAAGCTTCAGTGACTGTTTTGGGCAAAACAGGAAACCTGTACAGAAAATAAATATACAGACTGCCATTGCTGACCTCCTTCAGGAAATGTTAATCAAGTATCCCATTCTGATCCAGTGGTTTCAACTGACCAAGAACAGGTATGCAAACTAGAAGTTCTGGCTTCACTCTGACTTTCAAATCTACATGCTCGTTCTGGGTCAGTGACTCAAAAGTTACTGAAGCCAGGGACAGCCAGCGAACCAGCATTTTCAGAAGGAGGCCAGCACTGGCAAAACCATATTTCTCTCATTAAAGGTTACTTTAAGAAAAGCCTGGTATGTCAGATTGCCCATTCAACAACTTTCTTAAATCTAGTAGGTTACAAAGATAACGTTAATTAAACACAAACTAAACTAGGTCTAAATCAACAATAGTATGCACATGCAATTAATGAGGTTAGAAGGGGAGCAGTACATGTGGGTTAGAGTCACTGTCATACTTCTTTTCTTTTCTGCAGGGATGAGGTACCGATCAGTAATATTGCAGAGTTAATGCATCAGGTGTCCTTGGGAATGAAATATCTCGAAGAACATAATTTTGTGCATCGTGACCTGGCTGCTCGAAACGTCCTTCTAGTAAACCAGCATTATGCAAAAATCAGTGACTTTGGTCTTTCTAAGGCACTTGCAGTGAATGACAACTATTACACGGTAATGTTGCTGATGGAG